ACGAGTTCCGCTCTCTGGCCTTGAATTTGAAAGTTCCCTTTGGCTTCTCTCCTATCATAGCTCCAATGAATGGTCCTATGGCTCTCTGTCTGCTTGATGGGGGAGTGTAAGGCTGGGTGCTACCCTGAAACATGCCCTTTCTTCCTGGTGAGCCAGCATAGTCCCTGAGCCCTACCTAGTGTCTACCAAGGACTCAAACCACATCGACTGAGTAAATTTGTGAACAAAGTTCCATGGCTCCCAAAGGATCTTTCCTCTTGAGTCTGTGAGTTGCATGAAATAAGTTTCCTTAAGCCTGGGGCAGCTCTCCATATGTCTTTTCACACAAGAAGGTGGGGGGTTGCGCCTTTCACATCAACATCCACACCCGCCGCCCCAGTTCTCTGTTCTGTGTGTACCACACACACCTTTTTCTCCCTGGGGAATGGCAGTGGCTGTATAGTGGATCTCCAGCAGGTAATTCAGCAAATGTTCCCTCAGGGATACAATAGCTGGAACACAAAAGACCCCAGCATTCCTGATGTGATTGCAGGTTGAATCACTGTGTAATCAGAGAAGCTTCTTCTCTGCCTTTTGTGAGTAATGTAATGTTTTGTAGGGGAGAAAACAATTTCTAATATTAAATAAACAAAAGGAAAAGCCCTGTTATTACTAACAACATAAACACGAGACTAATATTTAGAGACAGTGTTCATCGTGTATACTGCAGTAGGTGTTGCATGCTTCTTCTTTTGTCCAATCTTAAAATCCCTTTGAAGAAGACAGCATCATTGCATATGGGGAGGGATGACATTAAGATGTGATGCCTATGCTATGCTTCAGTTTCCAGCAGCTGCTAGGCAGGTACATGATGGCAAATTCCGGGGTCCGCAGAATGGACTGCCCAGGAAGCCTCCAGCTCAGGAAGTCCCCTCAGCTTCCCCAGCTCCTGTCTCAGTGCTGTCCCCATTCTGGCTGCTCTGGCTCCCCAGCCCATGCAGGGATTCCTCCTTGTCCTCAGCCTCTCAGAATCTCCTCCTTTTGAACACTCTCTCCAGCCCCATTGACCAAAGGCTGCCGAAGTCCGCACTGATTCCCACTGTGTTACGGAAAGGGCACAGCCCCTGGCACTGTTAGAGAGATGGAAGGCTTGCTCTGTACATGTCCTGCCTGCTTCAGAGGAGCACAGATCCTGGGCAAGGTCCTTTGTTGCAGAGTAAGTTTCTGTGTCTGAAATAATGTCCTGCTCAGGATTCCTTTTCTTCCCCAAAGCCCAAACCAGCTCTGGCAGAATATAATCTCTTTATCCATCACCCTGCCACCCGCAGGCCCACATACAATGAACTCAGCACCCTCAGAGGCTAGCCAGCAGCTATTTCAAAAAGGTGCAAGTTCACTTGATAAATATAAGGATAAGGCAGATAATGTCTGGGGTTAAAACAGATGGGGAAATGGTAGCTTGCTTAGTTTCTCTGAAAAGCTTCATGTGGCACCAACAACAGTGGCCTGCTCTGGAGAGCTGTGCCATGTGTCCCAATGGCATCTTGGTTGTGACCTCTGACCCAGCATTGTCTTCTGGTTATCTGAGGCTCGGTGGAAAACGGGCATTTGCTGTTATTTTTTTCATCTTTCAGGTTATTTAAAACATTCGAAAAAACATCACAGATTTTAATCTCAGTTTTCCAAAGTACAGCAACTAGTAGGACGAAAAGTCATAAACCTTCCTAAACTTCTACCAATAGCTTTTTATGATCAGCCCACATCCCAGAAGGGCACACTGATTTCTGGACTGCAGGAGACATTCTATTCTGTAATGGTCCTTATGTTCTCATAAAACTATCTTCATTTCCTCTTTTTAGGTTGTTTCACATTTTTTTTAATTTGAGGATGGGTGCATACGCCCTAGCATAAGTGTGGAAGTCAGATGACCAATTTTGGATGGGTCCCAGAGATTAAACTCTGATCCTCAGGCATGGCATCCTTTCCCTACTGACCCAGCTCACCAGCCTTTTGTCCCTTTAATTGCAGTATCAGAAGCCCCACGGCTCTTTATTTGAGGACTGACCATATGTCATATGTTTTTTACATTTTACTGACAACTTTCATAGGATCGCTCTGACCTCTATTCCATTTCTCCTAGATTATTAAATGAAAGCTGGAGAGGCTAGAGTGCACATCCTCCTTACCACAGAGCTTGAAGTCCCAGGGCTGGGACTAAAATGAGGGCTCTCCCAATCCACTACATACACTTTTCATCAAATTCTTCAATTTCTTTCTTCTTTCTTGTCTATATTCAGCATATTTGGGCATGCGTGTGTGTGTGTGTGTGTGTGTGTGTGTGTGTGTGTGTGTGTATGGAAGATGGAACGCAACCTCAGGTTTATTGCTGGAATGCTGTCCATCTTCTGTCTTATTTTGTTTTTCCCCCACAGGAAGACCCTCTGTTTATTTGATTGAACAAAAATAAAATAAGGTGCATAGGAACAATTTTAAAGTCCAAAGAGACTCTGGCTTTG